ATAAGAAGACAGGCCCTCTATGGACTGGAAATTGGCTAAAAAACAGGAAGCTGAGACTAAGAATAAATGTCCAGTTCTCACAATGGAGGGCTGTGAGCAGTGGGGTCCTTCAGGGAACTGCATTAGGACTGGTACTTTTCAACTTCAAAATGACCTGGAGTAAGGGGTGAGTAGTGAAGTGGCCAAGTTTGGAGATGACACCAAATTATTTAGGGTGGTTAAGACGAAAAAGTACTGCAAATACCCTCTGAGATTTCAGTGACCATTATGACTGTTGCTATGCAACCACAACAGTAGTACCAGCCTTCAAGCCTTGGTTTCTGTTAGTAAAAGGCAGGGAGAGAAGGCTAAATTGACCTCCCAGTCTACCCTTGCTCCCCTCCCTTCTGCCCTGGAGGGAGGATTCATCAGGCCAGGCTGAGTAGCAACCACTAGGTAACTTGCTACCATGCAACTAGTGCAACATACCCAAGTGTAGTGGTGGCTACAACTTGAAGCCACACAACTTTCCTGGGTCCAGCAGCAGACTCTATACAACTTGTACACCTTGGCTGGGACCACCAGCAGCAAGCACACAACTCATCTGAATGACTTGCTACCACACAACCTTTTCAACTTAGCCACACTTTCCAACTTTTCCAAGGTAGCGCCTGCCAAGGGAGGGAAGGAGGGAATGCTGGCAGCCAATGTGGACTAGTAGTTAGATTGTCAAAACTAGGAACTTGGTGACCCAGGTTCAGATCTGTACTCTGCCCTGGAAGCTTGCTGGGTGACCTTGAGCCAGTCTCTCTCTCATCCTAATCTACCTTTTCGGCTTTGGGTCTCAATTTTGGAGAAAGATGGGGTATAAATGAAGTAAATAAATGATTAATAAACCAGAGGGGGGGGGGGGGGAGACAGATAAAAGAAAGGTTGGTTGGTGAGTAGGAAGAAGAAAGCAAGGAAAAGGGGAGAAGATATGGGAGCTGCCAAGAAAGCAGGAAGAAATAGTGTGGGGAAGGAAATACAGGAGAAAATGAAGGGACCCCACAAGTTATTGAGGTTTACCCACTTGTATTATATAGTTTATTATGTAGAATTTAATTGTGATACATTAATGTATAACTACAAATTTCAAATCACTAGGTAGGCAAATAGTTTTCCTATTTGATGCTGTAAGCCACTGCCCAAAGTTTAAAAGTCGAACAAGTGCAATCTTGTTTCGCCACTGATCTTAGGGAACATGAACCAGTATGTTGGCCTGACCCTCCCTCTGGAGTCCTGTTGCTTTGAGTGCTGTTTATACTGTCACATACATTTCTCATTCCAGGTAAACAGAACTTTGTAGAAGAAGGGGATGTGGGGGTCTCCCACTTTCGGAGGAGGGGAAGGGTATACATTACTACCACACATCTGCTGAGAAGTCTTTCTTTGATGCCCAAAGCCAGAGCACTGCCCCAGAGCCTCTTTCTAGATCCCGTTGTATTGCTTTCACAACGGGCTTCACTGCTAGTTTCCTTTATATTTATAAAGTTGCCCCATATTGAGCCTCAAGGCAGCTTACCAGCACAAAAATAAAACATTAGTGCCGCCCAAAAACACATTATAAAGAGAGGAATATAGCATCTGTTAAAACAAGACTAAGGTATTATTTTCAACTGATCAGTTTAGATAACGCAAACCTTTTTTTGAAAAAATCTAGTAAACACTCCAATGTTTGCATTTTCCTTAAAGCAAAATTAGAAGAACATTAAACAATTGTTTGAAGTCATTTATCTGCTGATTTCCTGCTCTTTTAAAATTTCTAGTACAAACAACAAAGCTTCCTTGGATATGATTTTTTTCTTTGTTCCTCTTTAGGACACCAGTCTCATGTTAAGATTACTTTGGATTATTAAATATTTCTTTTAAGAAGCTTTTCATATAATACTGTTATAAAGAGTTAATTATTGATACTGTGACAAGCTGTGAAAAGTATGAACTGCAATTAGCCCTCCCTTCTCATTTGAAACAATGTGAAAAATATCTTCTGACAATGGCTATTTAGCATAATACAAAGGTATGACAAAAGATAAAAGTCCCAAAGTTCCTTTCAAGCACATTATTAGACATATGTAAATTAAGTGTATGTTTCTATAAAAAAAAGTTGGTACACAACCTCTTGAACTCAAATTTAACCACACAGTGCTTGTAGTTGAAACAGAAATGGCTTGATTCTTTTTAACAAAAAAAGGCAGAAATACTGTATTCTCCAGAGTTTAGTGATAGGATTGTCTTTACAATAGAAAGGTAATGTTATAATTTTCAGAGCTTCACAGAGAACAAAGAAACCCCTCTAACCTCTTACTGAAAAGAACTCTACTCTTCAGCAATGATAAGCAGAGATTTGAAGGTATCTGACACTCCAAATCCTATTCTTTTGTAAATCTTTGCTTTATACAACATTTTCAACCATGTTATATTAGATTTTTCGAAGGATAATCAATAGGCATGATGTATAACTGAAAGCACTCTTCAAAGCAAATCTCTTCCAGAAGCCAGAAACAAAAGCTCAGGTTTTCTGCTGAAAACCTAGCCTCAGCAGTGGGGGGAGGCAAAAGCCGTCGGGGATCAAATTAAAAAGCCAGTTCTGACCACGGCTCTCCTTGTTGAAAGTAAAAGTCATCCTGAGCCTGCTGTAACTTATTCCAGCTGGCAACAGTCCCCGAGGAATCCTATTGCAAATTGGGAATGCTTAAGCATGGCAGCTACGTGGAGAGAATCCCTACATGGCTTCAGAGGGCTGCTTTCTGGGCTCTTGGCACCACCAGATTAGTGAGTGAAAAGGGGGAGTGGAGATCCTCTGGGGAATATGACTCAAAATTTAAATCATGTGCTAAATCTGTTCAATTGGTATGACATTTTCAAAGGCATTAATAAGCGTGCTAACGGTACAGTGATAGAGAACTATGCAGCTATGTCTGTACTGGCTTGCTGTTCCTTACTGAGCTCAGTTCAAAGTGCTGGCGATGACCGGTAAAGCACTTTAATGGCCTGGGTCCAGCATATCTCAGAGCTTCTACTCATATGTTCCAGCTTGGCCTTTGTGACAGGCCAAAGAGGTCTTCTTAAGCTTGCTCTCTGTGGTCTGAGTCAGGACTGCAAGGGTGGGCAGAGAAGTCAGCTCTGGAACTGAAGCCTCAGAAGGAATGTGGTGCTAGAATACTGAGGTCACAAAGTTTTAAAATTGTCTCCTATGTAAAAAAAAACAAAAAAAAAAACCCCTGAAGGCAGAAAACTAGTACAGCAGGAAGACAGCTTGGATACAGTATCTTTTGTCCCTAATGTACTAGGTTATTATTTTTACTCCTTTATACTTAATTGTGAGAACCATGCCCCCTCCTCCAGCCAAGACCCCTTAGATAGTAGGGTTCCCCCCTTTTAGTAGTTTTAATAGGCACCCCCCTTTCAGGGCCTAAGTGCCAGGAGATCTGAAACTTGGGGAGTCTTATAAAGGCACCTGGGTTCAGCCATGGCATTGGAAAGTCCCGGGAAAGAGGAAGAAGGGTAAAGAAGAAGGGTATGCTTCAATTATAAACGGCTTCAGTGCAATCTCCCCCAGCTCAGTGGCATATTGTTCTCAATAACAAAATACTTTTCAGTACTGCAGACATCACCCAATATCCCGACATACCCCAGAGGTGTCACTCCCAGTTTTTTCCCCCTCTTTAGTCAGCCAGGAAGGGCACGCAAGGCTGTTTCAAGACTCATCTTGCCTCACACATACTGTTGTGTCCATGCAGATCTGGCTCACTTCAACCTAATCAAAATATGTTAATCATATTGCCTCACCCAGCTTCTTTGTGCCCATGCAGATTTGGCTCGCAATAGCCCAATCAAGGTATTTCCCCCATTTTTCCCCTCCAGAGTTTGACAGCAGTTCTTTAAACCAGCCAGTGAGATTCAGACTTTTTATCTTCACCCAATCCAAAGCCAGGAGAGCCAAATCCCACCTACCCTAAGGATCTTCTGTCCATAAAAGAAGGACCCCAGGTGCTAGCAAATTGTTCCAAAGATCCCAGATCTCTGCTGGTGAGAACTCTGCTTCCCTGCTGAGAACCCCAGCTACACTTTGCAAGCTTTTCCTACCCTTTTCCTCCTCACTGTGCCCCATGGACCTCAATTGCATCTGCCCCTGGACCCCTACAGACCTCAAGCCCTGGATTTAAGGTTGCACACCCCTTCCCTAAAACTTCCCAATTTCCTCTTTTCTACCTCCTTGTTGTGGTGTGTTTGTGTGTGAGTGCACACACTTAGGGAATCAATCCTTAGGTGCCTAGTGTAGGGTCTTTACATTTTTATTCCTCCTTATTTTATTTTGTATACAATAAAGTTATTTGTGTTGACAATCACTCTCTCACACTCTCTTTCTTCACCATTTTACTTTGAGATATCTCTATTGAAATCCACCCTGGAACACACACACGACAAGGTCTTGCATTACTCCTACTGGAACCCTTTTAAAGCTACCTCCCCCTTCTCTGGGTCCCATTTGGGTAACATTACCAGGAATAAACACTGGGAAACATCAAAAATGACACCCACACCTGTAATCTGAAGAACAGTGGAAATTGTCCACTCTTTCACCTCAGATTGAGATGGTGGGTGTTCAACCATTCTGGCCCCCCACCCGTGGCCTTGTCCGTGTGACCCCTTTCCCAGTCCCCCTGCTGTTCTGCATATTACTTGGGCACTGGAATTTCTTGGGGTAAGTATTCCTGCCTGATATGAGGCATGGGTTTTGGTTTTATCTGCTGTTGCTATTTATTGTTTGTTGTTTTTATTGTTTGTTGGTTTTTTGTTGTGAGCTGCCATGAGCTCATTCCTGGGGTAGGGCGTGGTATAAATTAATTAAATAAATTTTAAAAAAAACAACTTCAACACTCAGTCTTACCTTTTTTCAATTTTGTCTCAAAGTCAATGGGACAAATGGCCCTGGGCCCAGGATTCACAGCTGAAGAAAAATAATGTACAGAACATACCTTTCCCATCAGGTCAACAATTTTGGGCACAGGTTTTCCTTTCTGATGCCTGATAGTTGGAGAACTCTGCCCATCCCAGTCCTGAAGCTCCTCTATGCTCTGCAGATAAAGCAAAGCTTTTAGCCCCGTGCAGTAATCTTCAATCACAGTAAAATCTTGATTCTGGATGGCACTGCACACCTAGAACAGAGAACATAAACTTAAGTTACTATGAGACAGTTGTCCTTAGTGGTATTCGACACAGAATATTCAGAACTTAGATGATCAAAGACAACAGTCAGTCAGTATCTTTATAGTTTTCTCAGGCATCAATTAATCATGGATGGCTTTAATTGCCCTAGCTCTTTATGTTAATCAGTGCCCATGAGTAAGATAATTTGAAACAGTTCCATGGAAAGATGCACTCCATAACATCCTTTTCTTTTCTTTTGCATTTTTGATATGAGAGTTACTGCCGTGGTCAAAATTCATAATTTTAGTGAAACTTGTCTGACAATTCTGAATTGCCCAGCTCATGTATTAGGACACGCTCACTTGTAATAAGAAAAATAAATGGGTTAACCTTTTCATGGTAGATCAAGTTAAAAGCTGAGGGATTCTCCTGGATCCAGCCTTACAAATGGATAAGTAGGTCAATGCTGTCACTAGGAGTACCTTCTTTCAATTACAGCTAGCTTGTAAGCTGGCCCCTTATCTAAATGCTGCTAACCTGGCTACATTGATCCATCATAACATAACTGCCAGACTGGACTATTGTGACACACTCTAAATAGGGCTACCTTTGAAGATGTCTCATTCCAATTGGTACAAAATGTGGCAGCAAGTCTCTCTAGGGTCAGCCAGTGTTAATACATAACTAAGGTTGTTGCTTAGCAGATAGTGGCGGGAGAACTCCATGTGATACTCCCTGTCTCTCCACCATTGCTCAATGGAATGGCATGGGGTAATAGGGGGAAGCATATGGAACAGGAAGTGATATTATGACAATCTAGGAATTTTAAAAAAACATCTATGGTTTCTCTGTAGAGATTTTGACATTCTTAGACTGTTATGTCCTTCAAGAAGTCCCCCCTCCCATGCTCCTAGGTATTAGATGAATAAATAAAACAAAGATGAACGTGTTTAGGATCAGGTGGTGACATATTACTACTTGTCCTAATCAAAATAACTTGCGAATTCAGATGTCACCACACAAATCAGAGATATACAACTTTCACTATCTTCCTACCTTGTTTTTCTAACCTTGCATGGAAAATGAACCATGGGATTCAGCCCTTGCAATTAAAAACTGGTACAACAGCACACCATTCAAATATCATCAAGATTCCATCTGCAATGTACTACTAACAAAGAAGCAGATTTATCCCAAGCAAGGCACCTACTATGCGTTGAAAAATATGAAATTAATTACTCTAAGAGATCTCTTTCATACACAGACAGACACACACGCCATATCACAATGTAAAATTAGCTCATACAACTGATCAAACCCTCAGTAACCTTGTCCAAATTTTATTCTTGGTGTCATATACTATCTTACAAATTGTTCAGGTGGGAAAAGTACATATTGCCTTTTGAAATACTGTACACTACAGCTGTGCAGGAAGAAACAAGGACTAAATATAAAATATGCACAAGAAGATTTCCTATACAGCCCATTTACATTACACAAAACCTGTTTCTCTGGAGGAACAGTGTGAGCATTAATTAGGTCTGTTATGCCTTCCATAGATTTAGGCTCTCCCTTTCTCTCTCGTTTTTTCTAGAACAATTATAGAGAACATCATTATAATTTCCTCCACAGGTTATTTAACTGTAAAACTCAACTGATGCTTTATTTAAATTTCTTTGTTAAATAAGGGTTTCTAATTTTTAAACATATGAGTAACGTATTTTTTAGCTATTCAGAAAAGAAAGGAGTCACTGAAAATGCTGGTAACGCACACACTAGTTTATATAATTTAAACCAAGCTAGACTTGGTTGCTGAAACCCTGTGCTATTTTGACACAATGTATGCAGGCGAGATACACAGGAGCATTGCTGTTCTGATCTTATAAATAATGTGACTTTTAATGTGCATCACCTTATTCTGATGACAGGAACTGAAGCAATACCAGAATGCACTAGAGATTATTACAGAATCACAAAGACTATCCAGTCTAATGCTGACTGTGCATCAGTGCATATCAGCGGAGTATCCCAGCCAGGCTGAGAGTCCTTGGAGTGCTGGACAAAATCTAGAAAAAGTGACTGGGAATTCGAGGGAGGCAACAGGGTGCAGCAAAAAGCAATAAAATACGCAGGACAGCTCCCAGGGACAGCAGGAGTTGATCGGCTACAGTCCTAAAACCAAGCTGATCTTAGGTCCATTCTGCATATAGCATTCACTCCACATTTTCTCAGCACTCAACCTCGTCCTTCCTTGCCTTGGAATATCTGTTTTCATTGCATTGCCTCAGATCCTTGTTTCTGCATTGGCTAGTGTCAGCTTGCTATTTATTTTGTTTTCAATGCTCGATCCTGCATTGCTATGCAGATTTTCCTGTGTCAGTACTTACCTCAGCAGTCATTAGCCACCTGAGCCAAGTAATTCATGGCAAGATAATAAATATGGAGGGGGAAATAGGGACAGGGGAACTGACAGAGATCAATGAAGCCATGTCAAGTTGTCTACTTATAGTTCCCTTCAAATTGGAAGCAGAGGAAGAAAAAGGTGCCACTCAAAAGCACATTCAGATACCTGGGGCAATGCGGTACTGATTGCGAAGTCACCCCTAAATGGCCATAAATCTATGCAGAAGGTACCATAAAACCCGATTAACAAAGAAAGTGAAAGCGGCATGCAATGTAGAGGGAGATTAACCTTCCGACATGGCCGTGGAAAAAACTGCGAGGAAACAGATGGGTGCAGAATCAGCCTTAATTACTGACAGAGTCTCTGCCCGCAAGGAAGAAAGTAGGGATTTAAAGGAGCTATGCTGCAGCTTGAAGCAATGCAATGCCCCACTCAGTAGCCTCATTGTGAACTTCTCTACAGTGGCCTTTAGGAAAGTGGAAGCCAAAATTGTGTAGTTTCAGTGTCAGACTAGGTTTAGGAGATTCAGGTTCTAATCCCCATTCTGCCATGAAGCTTGCTGGATGCACTTGCACTGGAAATTCTCTCCCTTAACCTAATCTACCTTGCAGCATTGTTGTGAGGACAAAATAGAGCAAGGAGAGTGAGAGATCTCACCATGGTGTCCTTAGGGAACGAGTGGGACTAAAATGACACAATAGCCTCGAGAGATTAGAATCAGATCTCACTGGAAAAGTATTGGGTGCAGAACTGATAAGTAGATAATATCCATTGCCTCTGACTGTAGATAATATCCATTGCCTCTGTCTTTTCCCTCTGACTGTCTAATTGATTCAAGGGCAGTCAGATACCAGCTTACTGTCATTATCAGAGAGGACTGGGTGTACAGCACGCACCATCACACAATTGCTGTCTTGTTAGCTATCCAACCACAAAGGTTGCCATGTCTTAATATGGAAACTCACCTACACACTTAAATACTCTCAGGTGAGAATAATTGTTCTGTTCCTATCTGTCTGCAAGACTGGACCCTTCACCCAGGCAATGTACAAAACTCCATGTGGATGCTGTCAATTTCTGTACATTCTTATGCCAGCATGAGATTATGTTGGCAACTTCTGGTCAACCAACATTAACCTCAACATACGAATAAGCAAGTGACAAAGTGTGGCTTTGTACAATGTTTGTTCCCATTTGCTGCCTCAGTACAACACCAAAACAGTGATGCCTCTACATACTGTGTTTAGCCCTAATCACAGGAGATCAAAGTGAGTTCATAAGTGGCTTCCTGGCAATCGAGACAGCAGATTCTTTCATCAGAGCTGTTATGGTGGCAGCACATTTTGTTCAGATCACAAACTGCTTTCTGCCATCATTTCCCCTTTCTTTGCTGAAGTGATAACAATCCAGCATTCGTAAAAATGCCATCTTGCTTTCTCAAAAAAGGGGTGTTATATCAGCTTTGCTGCTGAACTGCATAAACTTGCTAGGTCAAATAATTCTCAAAGTGCCACCTTATTAAGAAGTCAACCTTTGACCTCATAGTTTCTAATATTCTGACTCTGGACTCAGATACCTTCAAAAGGTTCTCCATAAGATACACTATTTTGCATTTTTTTAGTTTTCATCTGGCTGATTTGGCTTTGAAATCAATGGTAACATACAAAAGGTAAGCAAAATGTATATAACCTCTTTGATCTTGTATTATGCTTGTTAACTGTGTGGGATGAGATGGTGGCATGTAAATATTTTAAATAAATAAATCAAACACACTTGTCCTTCTTTCATTTGTTTTCACTTTAAACTTTCAACAAAAACACATCATAATTAACCTCTCTCTTTTTTTTGGTGTTACAAAAGTATTGATATAGCCCTATCAGTACCTCACCAGATAAAGATGTACCAAATTCAGAGGAATGCATTTCTGTAGAAAGAGTCCAGATAAAGAGTGAAATCCAGGGATCTGTTTCCTGCCCCCCATCCAGGCCTGTAGCCAGGATTTTTTAAATCAGGGGGCATTTAAATTTCTTAGGGGGCACTTGCTAATCAAATTAATCCAGGGGAGAAGGCCGTGATGCCCTGGGCTGGATGGGAAGTCAGGGGGCCTTGCCAGCAAGTCAGGGGGCCTAGCCCTGAGATGGCCCACTGTAGTTACGGGCCTGCCCCCATCCCTTATAACCCTGGGAAAGTTGATTCTCAGGGCCACAGGACCCACATGGACTAATAGCCCATGTGGGTCAAGGGTTGCACAGAGGAGGCGGGAGGAACTGAAATACTGTCTCCTGCTACAAGTGCCAGTGGGTCAAGGGGTGCACAGAGGAGGGGGGAGGAACTGAAATACTGTCTCCTGCTACAAGTGCCAGTCCACAGACAAAAGAGGAAGGTGGGGTAGTTTTTCTCCTGTCCTACTCCTCAGTGCAGTTCTCTGATTTCCATGGCTATCAGCCAAACCTTGGAAGAAACAGTTCCAGAATTGGAAGAGAGATGACTACTCATTCATAAAATAAATAATTAATGTCCACACCTAAGAACGGTCACAGTCAACAAGTGAAGACAATTGGCTGGATTCAATAATTCCCTTCCAGTAATTTAGGAGTCTTCCTC